AGAGAAATATATATATATATATATATAATATTTGGAAGAGAAAAACTATATAATTACTAGTAAATTCTAATAAAAAAAAAGATTCCAATTAATGTATTTAAGAATAACTAGAGAACTACATAGTAATAGATTCTATATTTTATGAGTAAAATAGCATCACATTGAATGAGATGATAACTTTGTATTGTATTAAATTTTTTTTAGTATATAATTAGAAGAAGGTTGAACTCTCTCGAGCCACGAAGGGTAAATATTTTTTGTCCTTCAAGTAAAGTATGCTTTTTAAGAATTTAATTTGTGTTATCACCTTTACAGGAATTGAGGTTGTTTACCACTCAAACCAACGTATTTTATTAGTATTATATTGTTTAAATTTGTTATATTAAAATTTTTTTCTTTGTTTTAGACATTTATTTACTTATAATGGGTTGAACAAGCTTTTTATTGGTAGTATTATGTTTATCATTTTACGAAGTGGAAATGTTCTAATGCTTGGTGAGAGTTTCTATATGGAGGAATGATATTGTACATAGAAGACTAAGTGGAGAAGAGATGAGGCAATTATTGAATATGAGGTGAAATATGATTGCTTAACCTTAAATTAGGGCAGTAATCACTGCATTGATCGCGGCATTATCCACACTTTCTTTTGTCTTCAACCTCTCAATAGCAAAAAGGTGGGTTCGCAGTCTATTTGTGACGTAGGTTTATTTCGGATGTAGTATAGAAAATAAGGAATCAATTCAACCATTTTTGACATATTAAACTAATTAAAATTATAAAATTTTGACATATTTTTCTGTTTAATAATAATAATAATAATAATATTTTATCTCCCTGTTACACATTACTATCTACTTTACATACTAAAATTTTATTTATATTCAATTAACTTTTTATTTCATTATTTTAGAAAACATAATAGTTGTTTTATAATGCTGCTATGGTTATGTTCAGTTGTTTACAAATTACAAGCTCTCAAACGAAGCTTATAGAGATAAATTTTGTTTATAAAAAAATAATTGAAGTTCAATTTTTATGTTCAAGTTTGACTTGTTTTCATTAAGAAACAAGTTTTTATGGAATTGAACTTAAGCGAATTATTTTAAATTAGCTAAACACTTAACAAATCTAGACATCTATGTAAAGTTATGTCAAGGAAAAGTTTTTCATCTCTATGTGGAGCCCTCTCTATTGAATATTATGTCTCTCTTTTTTTTTTTTTTTAATTTTTCCTGATATATTTAAACATGCAATATTTAATAATAACATAAATTAGCTTTAATAACCATCTTTTTATGGTTTTTTTTTCAAGTTTTCTAATATATTTAAAAATGCAAAGTATCAATAACTAAAAAAGTTCCTGAGTTGGTGTTCCTCATGGAAACAAAGCCGGATATGTCTAAAATGCAAAAACTCAGTGGAAAGTGTTGATTTGCTGATTATGCTATAGTGCCCTAATGTGGTCATCTAGAATCAGGTAATCATTTTGTTTTGAACACGTGGCTATAGGAGCCGTCTTGTGCTGATACTGTAAAAGAAGCATGGGAGGGTTAGTCCTTTGCTAATCAAGGCTACCAAAGTATTAAGAATTTACTTCACTTAAATTTATGTTTTTAGTAGTTTCAAAAGATAAATGAAGAATTTTTTAGGTAAATTTAAAGCTTAGGTTTCAAAACTAGAGCTTAATGTCTTAATTGTTACAAGTGCTAGTTTACCTATAATCAGCCTACCTTATGCTAGTTGTAAACAAGCAACAAAGAATTCTAATAAAGAAATTCCATTCTACTCTTGGGTTTTCTATCAATTGTATTTCTTTCTATTTTTCTAATAAGTGGTATAAGAGTTTCTATCAATTGTAATCATTTCGAGCATGTAAACCAATATTACTTTTTATTAAATCATATCATATCGTATAAACATCACATAGGCATTTATACTACTTATAAGCAACATATGAATCTAAATTTCTCATAAGCATGCCATATAACTTCATTTAATACATAATTACATATGCATAAGCTACAAGAGAATTGAGTTATGTTATTTTAATCTCTTTTTTTATATAAATTGATTTTTGGTTATATTGAATCCCTTTGTGCTATATGCATTTTCATGTTTCTTGAGTTTTCTTGGAATTCTTCAACAAAAATTGTACTATTTTAGTAAATAATTTCAAAATTATTTTGGTAAATAATTTTACAAAACACATTATTTTGATCATACACCCACCAAAATATACAAGAGAATGTTTAACTTTTTTTTTTTTTTTTTCTCCCAAGAAATGGAGATATAGACATATAGTAGTGGACCTACTCCCTTTTCTTTCCTTTCAAAGTAAACATCATTAGACACAGTTGTTGCTGAGTTGCTTTGCTGGATAATAGGTAGCTAGAATTAGGATGTTGGCATTATTGCTAGCTAAAAAGACTATCCTCAAAAGATAATCAAAAGCTGTTGGGTTGTTATCATTTCAAAAAGTGAATTGACTCCAAGCTGGGTACCTAAAACCGGAATTTCTGATTAAATTCCATTGGTTTATTAATTATTTCAGTATTTCTGATTATTATTGAATTATTTGTTGCTTTGACATTATTCAGTGCCTACGAATTTCTTTTTTTTTTTTTTAAACTATCAGTATATGGGCCTTATTACTAAGAGCTGCTTAATCCGGCTTGATGTTTACTCACAGTTAATACTCTTCGCTCTTTTCTACTGATGTATTTAGTGGGGATTGAATCTGAAAGCTCTTTTCACATGTCCAGCCTGGGTTGTCAACTCAACCACAACTCGTAAATTTTAAAGTTTTATTTATACCAACTAGAATTTACTTCAAGGCTTTTTTGCCATTTGTCATGCTAACTTATTGGAGCAGGTAAACCTAACTGATTATGTATGTACTTTTTTTTCAAATTTCTTTTAGGAAAATTTTTGTGATTATGTATTTAAGAAAAGTTTACATATCACATGATTTATATGAAATAATGACATGATTTCACATAAAAAATAATATGAATATTAAAATTCTTGAAAATATTTAACCATGATAAATAATTTTTTTTAATAAAAGTTTATAAATGATCTTAATTAAAATCATATATTAAAATATTTATAGATTTGAGCTATACAAATTGAAATATGCATTGATTTTAATTAAGATTATTATTGGTGTTTCACATGTTATGCGATTTATAAAATTGGTAATGATATAATTAAAAATTTCCATTAATTTTTAGTTAATACTAAGTCTGTATTAACTAAATACATTTTTGAGATTATAAATATGGTTTTTAAATAATTTTTGGATTCTTTTTTAAATACCACATATAAAATTCAACTTAAATGACTAGAATTATATGTATTATAAAGTAATTTTAGTATAATAATCATGCTACGAGTCATATTTTAATTAATTATTATAATATGTACAAAAATTATTTCGAGCATCACAAAAATTTTAAAACAGTATTTATATGATTAATCTTTTTCAGGAAAATATATGTTCTATATTTTATTTTAGAGGAAAAAAATTCACATAATATATTTTCTGTGTTAATTGTTTATTAAAAAGATACTTTATATTAGTTGTTGAATAGTTTGAATTGGTATACTTTAATTTGAATCAACAAAACAAGATTTTAATTTAGTTTTTCTTAAATTTTAATCTCGGTTTTATATTAACGAGAAAAATGAAAAATTTTTAAACATTCTAAGAACTTATCTTTTACCGATCACTTTTATAGCACAAATTATTCAACCGCTGACCGTAACATTCTAAATGCAAATTTAGTTACTGATCTTTAATATGTAAATTATAATTGATAAAAGCAGCCAATTAACCAAACAGTATGCTCAAAAGGTAGCAAAAAGTTACAGAATTTTGAATCAACTTTTGCTCATTTGTAGCCTCTGCTGGTCATAATTTCAGAAAGCAAATTGAGAGCCACAAGGATTAAAGTTTGTATGCCCATCCCCCATGGCCATGCGTCCTTCTTTTCAGGGTCATATTATGTGGCCAGCTTTGAAGCACAACTCAACACGTCATTTCTACTTTGAAAATGGGTTGATTTGAAATTACGAGCTTTCTGTTCCTATCATATTAAATTATGGTATCCTAGATGTACCCTTTTTTTTTATACGAATACTTATTGAAAACAGGAAACAGATATATAATCACCACAAAAAATTAGGGATTTTGATAAAAATAACATTCTTCAAAAATACTATTTTCAAATCTATGACAAATCATTTGGTGGAAGTGCAAATTTGGAATGTGACTATTAGTGGGCAAAAGTTATACGAGAGAATAGTGTTACGTTAAAAATTTATATGTTAATTAATGATTTCAATAAAAGAAATATTTATTTACTCAGTATTTTTTTATCAAAACACAACGCATATATTATCTGGTGATTTTGGTTTATAAATATTTTAAGTTAAATAATAAAAACATAAATTTCCTTACACAGTTGCAAATTTTCAAAAGTAATAAAGTGCTTCAAGTTGAACTAGTAATTTTTTTTATGTTAAATGCCTTAATAACTAATCCATGAAAAATTAAGCATATTAATGTCTACTCACTATCCTCCTGTACCACGTCTTGGAGACCTCCTATCCTCTTGTACCACATCTTGGAGACATCTTATTACAATGGGGGTGTCCGCTTACTGCATCTTCTCTAATGCCTTAATATTCTGGAGACCTCCTATCCTCTTGTACCACATCTTGGAGACATCTTATTACAATGGGGGTGTCCGCTTACTGCATCTTCTCTAATGCCTTAATATTCTTCTCTATGTTCAATGTTTGTATCAACACTCATGCGAGCAGCTTGAACCATATTTACAAATGGTGGTTGTAGACTGAAAAAATGTTAGATGAATTTGTTGATCGAGTTCCATTATTATCTCAAAGAAATCATTAAATGAGTGTCTAGCAAGAGATATAGATTCATCATGTGTGCCGAAAGACACTGTCAAAGAAATCATTAAATGAGTGTCTAGCAAGAGATATAGATTCATCATGTGTGCCGAAAGACACTGCAGAAGTATTGAAGTAAGTACTGTATATTGAAATGACGTTGCCATCATCTAAGTATAATGAGTGTTCGATGGGATTTCTAATGTTGCAGATGGTACACTCAAGTTGGATACAGAAGATGATGTGTCGGGGAAGGAACTTGAGGTATATTGTCTGTTGGCAGAGCTTCAATTGAAATATGTCCATATGTCATTTTACATCTTCTTCGTCTTTGTAGTTCTTTTGGTATTTGAACACGTTTAAACTCTATAGATGGAGGGGCAAATTGAAGCATAGAATGAGTTTTGGTACGAATTTTGTCGTTCATTGCACCGAATAAACTAAATAATTTTCAATGGAATGATGAAGTTCTACGTGTTCGTGATCTTGAACTGGAATATATATGTTGGAGTCCATCTGCCTATATTAAAGAAAAATATTATGGAAATAAGAGCCAAATTTATTATTTAATTAGATTAAGAAATTATAAGATAAGATAAAAATATATAGGCTAATTACCACAGCTCCAACTTTAGCACCTCGAAATGAAATCCAACGTTTGAGTGAGCGCCTAAAGGTGCTTGGAATAGACAAGATAAAACCGTATAAGAGAGACGGTTGTTCTACACTTGAATGAATGATTGAAATTTGTACTACCAATCAATATCAGTGTAATCCCGTAAGTCAATTGAATGTAGCGTTCATCCTGGTATGTTGCCAGAGGTATATGTTGGTCCATCCCAAATTATTGGAGGCAAGGATCAGGTTGATGTCATTCTATAATGCGGAAGCAAATCAATAATATTAATGAGTTTCAAGTACGTCTTCCAGATAAACAAAATTGAGGAAGTAATCCTTCAACCTCTATATGGCTGCCAAGACATCTATAAACAAGCAATAATTTAACAGTAAATTAGTTAATATAAATTTGACTATTCACCCTCTAATTAAATAGCATGTAATAGACAAATTATAGTACCTCTTTAGGTCGTTGTTTATCTAATTAGAATCGCAGCCACTTTGCATCATTGTAGTAGATGCATTTAATGATGTTTTTCATCTAACAAAATTCATTTGACAAAATAACTTAGTATATTTTTAAACTCATTTTTTGATGCAGTGTCGAAGAATAATATATTTTGACTAAGATGCAAATATTAGCTCTCCATGCAAAAAAAAAAAAAAAAAAAAAAAAAAAAAAAAAAAAAAAAAATACATAACGAACTTGCATAATCTATTAGCTCTCCATGCAAAAAAAAAAAAAAAAACAAAAAAAAAAAAAAAAAAAAAAAAAAAACTAATCTCCACAAACAAGCCTAAAAATAAATTTAAAGTAACAAGGCACGCTTTTATTATCATTATCAAATTATATATATTTATTTTATGGTCTATAAATCAAATTAAAAATTTACTTTAAACTTAAACAAAAAATATTTTACCTTTATTATTAGTTCGGACACTACTAATTTTTTATATGATGATGCTTACGCGCGTCTCTAGAATATCGTGTTGTACAGGCCATGGTGTCTTGGAAAGATATTTTGATTTGTAAGTTTGGAAATGAGACGCCCACCCTGGGTTATATAGTTTGCCATCTAGACATAAATCGGATGCGCCATGTTGAGGTGTTGATTTTAGGTACGTTCGTGTCAACGTATTTTCCTCTTGTATATAAAAAGAAAGGTGATAGAGTGAGTGATGAATGAAGTGTAATCCGCCTATCCCGTAGCAATCAGTTAGGGACAGTGGAACCAGGGCTAGGTACACCTTTAAAGAAAAATAGCATTTTACCTCGCGCACATCTATCGCCATTTCAAATTCGAAATCTATAGGCTAAGATATATCCCTCTCGTACTTTTGTCATGTGCTTGCCTCTCTTATAGTTGGGATATGGAGCTTATTATTTATCTATACACCATCTATTATTATTAACATACACTAGTATTGTTATGTATGGAATAGGACCTTTGCAACCAAAAACTACTGATATGATCATAATAATGATATTATATGTAGCAAAGGAACCTTAATTTTATATATGACTGTATAATTAAATTATTTTATTTATTAAAACTAATATAGTTAACTCTGGTGGGAGACCTTCTTAAGGATGTATGACCACATAGGGTATCTTCATATTATCTTGGTGTACTTTTTGCGTGATCTTAGTGGGTATTGGATGACTTAGGCTTCTACATGGAAGTTTATGGGCATTTTCACCATAATGGAATTATATATGTTAATCCCGTGGATTACTTAAACAGCAACCAGATTGACGAATATATAAACAATTACCTTACTAATTGGTATCGGGAATGGCTCATCATCTGAATTTGAGCATGGATTCACTCGATGTATACACTAATATAGGAAATTACTTCGCGGTATCATTGGGCAATATACTTCTTTTGTTGTGTTGACTACTTTCCGTTCCAGTACGAGTTACTTTTTCTCTAATTTGCACTGCATTGAGAAGTGTTTATAACTTGGTGAAGATATTATGGGGCTTGGTTTATTTAGTGTAACACAGGACACTTTTCTGTGCAACACGGGGAGGAGGGGACAAAATCATTAAGGAGGATTAGTAAATAGGTTCGATATTTGATATTGAGATGTTTGGAGGAAGAATTATTTTTTGAAAACAATTATTTTGTTCAAATCCTAATCTTGTCTTTTGGTACAAAATGCTTATCTTTGGGATTTTTTGACAAAAATCAATTTTTCTTTCTATATTAAAATACTCTTTGTGAGGAGAATCACAAAAAAAAAAAAAAAAAAAAAAAAAAAAAAAAAAAAAAAAAAACTAATCTACAAAAAAAAATAAATAAATAACAAGGCATTATTTACTTCAAATTATAATAAATATTTATGTCTATAAATCAAATTAAAAAATTTACTTAAACTTAAAAAAAAATATTTACCTTTACTAACACCTTCTATTTTATGATGTTCCTTCCCTCTTTCTGTGAAATGTGTTTCAAGTATTTTGTGTTTGAATGAGCGCCTGGGTAATTGATAACATAAGTGCAAGTGAGTGTTTTGGTAGTGTGAAGTATTTTCCTCTTTAATAAAAGAAGGTGAGTAGAGTGAGTGATGAATGAAGTGTTGACGTAGCACAGTAGGCTAGGTAACTAAAGAAATCAATTTTCTGCACTACATTTCAATCAATCATGCACAAATCTCGTATTTTGTCATGGCTTGTCCAAGTAAAGCTTATATATCTAACACCAATATATTAACTACCAGTGTTAATGTAAATGGATTGCACCAAAACTACTAGATGATATATATATTTTAGTGAAAAAATATTTTGAGTAAATAAATATTTTTTTTATTAAAACTATTAGTTAACCTGGTGGACTCTTAATAAAATATTATTTTCTTGTGTACTTTTGCTGACTAGTGGTTACATCTCATATTTGCATTTTCACCAAATGAATTATGTGTCTTACTAAAAAGACCAATTGACAATTTAAAATTCTTACTTTGTATCGGAACCATCAGTTGAATTGGCGGTCTCGTTACAAAATAAAAATTACTTCTACAATTACTTTTTGTTGACTACTTGTCAGTACGAGTTACTTTTTCTATTGCACTGAAAGTGTTAATTGAGTTGGTGGTTTTAGTACAACACTTTCTCCACGGTAGGACAAACATAAAATTAGTAAATAGTTTTGATTTGATATTAGATTTGGAAATAATTTTTTTGAACAATTATTTGTTCAAAATCCTATCTTGTCTTTTGGTACAAAATCTTATCTTTTGGGATTTTGACAAAAATAATGTTTTTAAAAAAACTATTTACAAATCTAATGTTAAGTGAAAATTATTTATCAATCTAATATTTGTTCTGCCATGAAGAGAGGATGTTGTACTAAAATCACCAACTCAATTGGCGATTTCAGTGCAATTGAAAAAGTAACTCGTAATGATAATCAGTCAGTAAAAAGTAATTAAAGGAATAAACAATAATTTTTATTTTGTATTGAAACCACCAATACAATATAAAAATTATTGTTCTCCTCTAATTTGTGGTTTCAATACAAACTAAAAATCTTAAATTGTCAAATAAACTTTTTAATAAGACACGCAGTTCATTTGGTTGTTTAGTACAAATGTGAGATGTAACCACTGTTCAACAAAAAGTATACGAGAGAATAGTGTTTTGTTAAGAGTCCACCAGATTAATTAATAGTTTCAGTAAAATATTTGTTTTCTCAAATTATTTTTTACTAAAATACGTATATCATCTGATAGTTTTGGTGTATAAATATTTCAAGTTAATTAATAAAAACATAAGATTCCTTACACAAAAAGTAATAAAAAGCTTCGAGTTGAATTTATATTATGTTTAAAATGTCTTAATAACTAATATATGAAAAATTAGTCATATTAATGCCTATCCACATATCCTCCTATACCACATCTTGGAGGCCTCCTAATATAAGGTTGATTTTGACATATTACATCTTCTTTAATACTTTGATATTCTACTCCATGCTTAATATTTATGTCGACTGGGTTTCTATTTTAGGGTCAAGGTTAAAAAAAAAGGACTGACCTGTACTATGAACTAAAAATATAAGTAAGTATGCAACTAATAACCAGCCTAGCGCTTTGTAGTATCTTGATTCAAAGAAATTGTCAAGACATGATATATTAGCCATATACTCATGCGAGAGCTTGAACCATATTTACAGATGGTTGTAGTGGACTAGAAAAGGCCATTGACAATTTAAATTTTTTATTTTGTATTTAAACCATAATTGAATTGGTGGTTTCAATATAAAATAAAAATTATTGTTTATTCCTTTAGTTACTTTTTACTAACTGCTTTCTATTGCATTGAAACTGTCAATTGATTTGATAATTTTAATGTAACGTTCTAACGTTCTCCCTTCATGATAAGAGAAACATTATATTGGTAAATAGTTTCTATTTGCCATTAGATTTGCAAATAGTTTTTCAAGATCATTATTTTTGTCAAAATCCCCCCAAATTAGATTCCAAAAACTAAGAAATTATTTGCCATCTCAATTTCTTTTCCATTCTTGATTTGGATTTTCTTTCATGGCACCTAAGAATAACCGGCCTCCACTTGATAAAATTTTCAAGGCAAGAAGCGCTACAAGATTAGCACCGAACAAGTCTCTTTAGAAGTCGAGATATTAATAAACCAGAAAGGAAGTAATAACTTTTAATTTATCTCTCTACTTGGTTCTGGTACATGATAGGGCTCAATCTCTATTTCCTCCGCTTCTTGAGAGCATAGGATGATGGAGAAAAAGATTGTTGGTGGTAATTATTGTTCTTGAATTTTAATTTGGAGAGGATGAGATGTAGATTGGTGTGCGTGTGCATGTGTGCAAGAGAGAGAGAGAGAGATAGAGATAAAGTGCAGAGGGTCGATTGGTGGTGAAGATAAGAGGGAGAAAGGAGCTTCAGAGCTGACATGGATTATGAATTGTCAATCTATTGTATGCACATCAACTTTCTTGTATCGTTCATCACCAAAAATTGGTCCGACGAGTTTTATGTTAAAAAATTAAAATTGATTGAACATTATTATAATGAAGTTTTGGGACGATAACATGAGGAACGACTAGTGAAAATAAGCATGTTAAAGATAAAACAATCCAATTTTATATATAAAATCAAACCCAATTATCTTTTCAATCCTAATACAACTCAGAAAATAATAATAATAATAATACGTAAGAAAACAAATTATAAAAAGAGAAGTTGCAAAAAAAAAAAAAAAAGCCTCTGAACTATATCACTTGTTGTAAAATTATTCCAAAATGATCTTTATATTCATAAAACTTTCGTTTAAAAACTTAGATATATCAATACCCTAATTTTAAAATCAGACCATGAAAAAGACTAAAATGATATTTAACATAGTACTAACAGTTTGACTTTGTGTTAGTTTACCACGAGAGTCAAAACTCATTGTTTTACTTCACCTATAATTCTTTCCAAGCTACAATCATAACTATAGTTAAGGGCAGTGTTGTCTAGGGGTGAGCAAAATTACCGATCAAATCGAATCGAAAATTGAATCGGCTCATTTCGATTTGATTCGTCAGATGCCCAAGAGAGGTTCGGTTAGTTCGTTCGTTCGGTTCAATTCGGTTACACAAAAATTCAGCGGTTGGATTTAGAACCGAACCAAAATGGTATAAACTGACAAAAATAGACCGAATCAACTGATTCGGTTCGGTTGGTTTAGTTCATATGCAAACTTCGGTCCGGTTTATTGTAAAGAAATTTCGATTTATATTTTGTGGTTTCGATTCGGTTCGTTTTAAACTGAACCGACCGTTTGCTCAGCCCTAGTGTTGTCTATACAAAAAATTTCCCCAAATGCCCTTCGCTGGAACTGTTAATAGTGGAGAGGGGGTTTCAGTCCAGGTAGACTTAAAATTGTCTCGCACTGGCCTTGCCCTCAGCAAAGGCTTGTCCTTTCATCCTCTAACTATAATGAGTTTGCTATTTTTTATTTTATATTGTTTTTATTTGATTCAAATTGAATTTTGATTTGCTTTAGTTATTTTAGATTTTGGACTTGAAATTGCAAAAGAGGTGTAAATTTCCCGCTAATAACACATAATGATTTTAATATGTTTGTTCTTAATTTTTTTTATATGATAACTAAGACTTCATAGGAGGCAGATGAGTTTATAATTGAGCTTCCTAAGTCTTCAAATAGAAAAGAAATCCCTCAATCCAACAAAGTTTGTAGTGTTGCTGGAAGACTTGCCGGTCGAGAGCGACAAAGAGAACGAGAGCAATTTCACAATCTAGGCAAAGCAAAACTGTGAGGTTTGGCTTCTTTGAATTAAGCTAACCCAAGATCAAGCTATAGTTTCCATATTAAATATCATTTAGGTCTTTTTCATGGTTTGATTATATAACCAGGTTGTCAATTAGTGGCGGAGCTAATTTGATTTTTAATGGAATCAATTAAATTAAAAAATCTAAAATTTTTTCACTTAATAAATACTTTTTTTAATTTTTTTATCAATTTAATCCTATTTTTATAAATATTTTTAAAATTTTAAATGTCACCCCCAGTGTCAATATATCTAAATTTTCAAGTGAGAAGCCCCTGTATAAAGTTCATCAAGTGCTTTCGCAGTGATTCTTATAATTCAGAGTACTTTGTGGTTTAATAAGCCCATCAGCAAAGATAGAGGGCTGAAATACGCATCAAAGGAACAAATACCATAAAAATAAAAATAAAAATAAAAAAATAAAAAAAAGAGAAAAAGGCAGACCTCCAATATTTCATATTGTACTAAACGAAACCTTCATAACCGTAGAGCGAAGTGCACAAATTCCAATAAAATTACAGATCAATAGGACCCAGAAATTTTCATCTGATTTCAAAGTTCTCAACTGGGAAACATTAGAAAATCAAATACCGCAAGGTCACCGCATATCCATTGATACAAGAGAGTCAGTATTGCAAGAAATAAAGGAAGCGGGGAAGAGAGGCAATGCATATCTGTACTTCAGCTTCTAATGAACTATGCTAAAATCTAACTTATACCTTTGGCGTCAAATGGACCTACATACATCCCTCAGCTCGCCAAAATTGCTGGGGAGCTCACCGGCACCACCATCCATCATCTCTCTAAACAAGATGTAAGCTTAGAAGCCAAAGAAGCCAAGTTCACTGGCTCTCTCTTTCTCAAAGGTTTCAAAGTACTGATAAATTATTGTGACCGCAAGGAGAATCCCTGTCCCTGAACCAATTGCCCCCATGAAATCTGCCAACACTGTCAAAGCACCAATGCAGATCCCTCCAAAAGCTGCAGCTGTGGGTATGTATCGGTTCAACTCTTTCTGTAAGTTGGACTCTCGGTGACCAGGCATAACCATTTGTTGTTCCTGCAATAGGAGGCATGTTAAATAAAATCATGAAATTGGCACCTTCCATTGACAGTGCAGATGCAAAATTTGGTTCGTGATCCTGTATGCATTCATTATAGTTTAAAAATCAAACTAAACTAATTTCATATTCATGTGAAAATAACACAACATCAATGAGCTTATTATGAAGCAATAGCCAGGAAGCATGAAGGAAATATTTTAAAGCATGTAATATCAATAACAATACGTTCAGCAAACAACATCAGTGAGCTTATTATGAAGCAATAGCCAGGAAACATGAAGGAAATATTTTAAAGCATGTAATATCAATAACAATACGTTCAGCAAACAACATCAGTGAGCTTATTATGAAGCAATAGCCAGGAAACATGAAGGAAATATTTTAAAGCATGTAATATCAATAACAATACGTTCAGCAAACAACATCAGTGAGCTTATTATGAAGCAATAGCCAGGAAACATGAAGGAAATATTTTAAAGCATGTAATATCAATAACAATACGTTCAGCAAACAACATCAGTGAGCTTATTATGAAGCAATAGCCAGGAAACATGAAGGAAATATTTTAAAGCATGTAATATCAATAACAATACGTTCAGCAAACAACATCAGTGAGCTTATTATGAAGCAATAGCCAGGAAACATGAAGGAAATATTTTAAAGCATGTAATAGAAGGCATGAAGAAAGTTATATGATTAAAGCATGATAATATCAAAGGGAACAATACGGGCTTCAGCAAAACAACATCTAGATGAGCTTAGTTATGTGAATGCAATTATAGACTCAGCCGAATAACATGAAGGAAATATTTTAAGCATGTTAAATATCAATAACAGATTAACATATCAGCACAACACAGTGGATGAGATATGGAGCAGTGGGCGAAAACCCATTCTTAGGGCGATGGCAACATTCAAAACAATACAAACCCACAAATGAGAATACAGTGGTTTTGTAGGATTTGAGCTTAATCGTGTAGTTCTTGATCTAATTGGGATAGTTAATCGATTGACACAAAAATTTAGAGTTTGAATTAGTTCATGTCCCCAGGTTGAATTCTCTTGAGTGCTTTGCTAAATGACGGAGGCTATAACCAAAACCTAAGTGATAATACACATAGGTTGAGAATGAAAAGAAAGGGAATGCTGTCATCATCGGAGGCAAAGTGTAAAGTTATCACTCTCTTCAAAAATTAAAATGAAAAAACTCAACTGAAAGATCGAGAGAAATGTTTACCTCTTACAACCCATGGTTTTGATTTGGCTAATTTCAAACCCATAGATCTTGGCGCCTGTTTGATCTAATAGACATCCCAAGTAATTTTTAAATTTTTTTTCTGATTCATATCGGAATTCTCAAAAACTTATAAATCATATCTAAACACGTTAATGTCACTAGGCCCGCCTAACCATCATTTTTATACCTTGAATTTTGATTTCCATTGGTTATTCCATGTTTGGTTTTTGGGTGTATATCAATGACTTTGAGCTAGATCTTTGCCATTTATGGACCTTAGTGTTTTGACCGGTAAAACTGTTGTTTTATTACTTGTGTAACTCAAACACACTTGGTTCTCAGACGACATGTATTCTGCCTACTCCTCGGTTTCCTATTTTGGCCAATAATAATACACAATCTATATCATATCTGTCCGCAGTTAGGGCCTAAAACCTCCCGTAACTTGTTATACCTCTAAAATTGTACAAAGGTAGCGGGAAAGCCGATAGTTTCAGATATTTTGTAGGAGAGTTGATATATAAATAAAGAGGATGGGGAAAAGTCAAAGTATCCCGAGTGGATCGTAGATTAATGGAAATTGTCCATGGTTGTTTCTCGCATGTACCTAGAAGGTCTGAGTGTGCTTGGGGTGTGAATGGTGCATATTAATTTTTGCTGGCGCTGTAGGGGCGCTTATCTGAGGTAGAATTGCGGTTGCTTTGCCAGCCTTCTATAGGAGGTTTTCTGGTTTTAGTTGTGTCGGTTACTCTTGTTATCTAAATCTGGTTTTATCAGAAGTTTCATATGGGAGCATGACATGTTGGTGGGCAAATGTTATAGAGAGCACATAATATTCATAGAAACAGAAAAACTCAGTTGCTACATACTACATAGGAGAGAACACATGGATTTTAAACCTAGTGCAAAATAATACGATGAGTTTGTCAACATATTCTGATATCCGTATAGGGTACAGAAACAACTACTCTCGCAACGCCAGTACAAGGGTCATAACTGGTACTTGTGGACTTATTTGTGTTAATTCTCATTATCTATCTTACCTCATATTGCCATGCCATATCTCAGCAGGGCATTCTGCACTGCGCATACTGTAAAATTGCGAGGCATGGCTAATAACTAGGGATTTCTCATAGACCTAATTAGGGTTGTTTTTAAACATCATTGTTTAGTAATGTACCTTCCCTGATTGCAAAGATAATACTCAGAAATAACTATTTTTTTTCTCACATTGACAAGTATAATAGTAAAAATAATAGTCTTCGATTAGTTCTACCTTAAAAGATACAAAAATACAAGAGAAAGAGAAAGGTGCAAACTAATACTGATGGAAAATTCATATACACATTAGTAAATTCTTAAAAAGATGAAATAATGAAATGATTTCATCAAGTTAAATACAAAAGATTATATGGGTTTATGTTTTCAAGAATAATATCTAGAATGATTATTGGGAGGGGAATTCCAAGGATCACCCTACCTTCAGCTTGCTTAAGGCCACGAGGTCCAATTTCGCAGGATGACGCCACGAAACTTCAATCCAAGTATTTCGAGAAAGAAGTTGACACAATGCTGAGCAACATGAACACCAGATATGAAGTGGCATGGAAAAGGATTTGCTGCCATAGAGTATTTGCAGCACAAATGGCTTTGCAGAAGGAGGGGAGACACTGAACATTGGCCAGACATTAGCAAAGATGTGAAAAACAAGAAGCTATGCATTGAGAAGGGACCATAAATTTTGTGCTGTTAATGTTTTGGGTGGGGGGGTGGGGGTGGGAGAGCAAAGTCAGGGAGAGTATTGGAGAAAGGAGGACCGGATTCTGGAAACGTGGGGGGGGGGGGGGGGGGAGCAAGTCAGGGAAGGAAAAGGAGGACGGTTCTGAAAACTATAATCACCTTGATGGTGCAGTTATGTAATATGCAAGGCCACCGACAGGGACTGACTGACCGTTTGAGTATTCAGATTCCTTCCATTTACCCAAAAGATTCACAAGGAAATTCCCACTGTATCTCCGGTATAACAACTGTAACATACAAAATTATTAGATATAAATGGCAAACAAACTTCAACTTGTGTATAAAATCATATTAATCTACCTGGGAGATAAAGTAGAGGTTAGAAACAAGAGCAGACTGTAAAATAATTGGCATGTTGGAGGTGTAGAATAGCTTGATTGGATATGAACCCTGCTGTCCACGAGCATTCTTTGATCTCACAGGTAAAACCACACGGAACCCTTGGAAATATATCACAATTAGGAAGATCAATACTGTTGCAAGCAGATTTGTAACATTTGGAAGATTCTGCCGGTAAAATGCTTCGCGAAGGGCACGGACTTTGTCTGGACGAGTAATCAGAAGATGGAACAAGGCAATAACAGCACCTTCAAATTCTGCACCTCTTCCGCTGTTAATGGTGGTTGGACTAAATGCTTTCCAGATGATATTTTCACTGAAATGTGAGGAGAGCTCTTGTTAAGATACAATTTTGAAGAAAATATTAGTACTTATCAACTCCACAAAAAGAAACTAGCTTTTAGGCAATCAACCTAGAGAACGAAGTTTTACCAGCAGATCTAAAATCAGGAAGTGGAGCTTACCAGATATTGGTTGCTATGAAAAGTGAGATTCCAGAGCCCAGTCCGTAACCTTTCTGGAGAAGCTCGTCCAAACAGATCACAATAATCCCAGCAAAACAGAGCTGAATGATAATTAGAATGGCATTTCCTACTCCAAGTTGGCTGACACTACCATACATCCCTGAGAGAACATATGCCACTGCTTCACCAACAGCTATCAGGATGCCCAATAATTTCTGAGCACCGTTTCTGGGAGGGGGAGAAAAATCAATCAAGGGAATATAACTAGCACAAGCTAGACAAGCAATTTGCAGTTTATCCCAAAAAAAAAAAAAAAAAGCAATTCTGGCAGTTTATCCCAAAAAAAAAAAAAAAAAGGAATAGAGCCTGGCGATTATTAAAGCATCAAGTTATGAACACAAATACCTAAAAGAATCAAGAGCTAAGCGCTTGAAGCACCATATCATAAAATATGATAGAAACCAATACCAGAGAAGACAAACATTCCCTGAAATGTCAATAATCAGAGCCACAACACGTAAATCTCAATAATTAAAAAAAAAAAAAAAAAAGGATAGAGCTGGCGATTATTAAAAGCATCAGTTAAGGCACAAATCACTAAAGATCAGAGAGCTAGCGCTTGAAGCACCATAATAAAATATGATAAAACCATCCAGAAAGGGCAACATTCCTGAAATGTAATAATCAAGCCAAACAGTAAATCTCAATAATTTTAGCGCTGAAAATACAATAATCAAATCAACTGTCATATGAAAGTGAAGTTTAAGCATCATTTAGCTTTTATCACGTCTATGCTTTATATGATTGTCATAAAAAAAACAATAACTTTAGTCAATTCAGATAGAGAATGCTAATATTTTTTTATATGGAGTTGAATACTATTATGCTAGTATTTAATTTTTCTTCAATTTTTTTTCAACTTGACCTCTCTCACGAGCACAACCTCTAACAGGCTCCCTTTTTTTTCAACCTCAGGCTCGTCCTTGTTGTGCCTTGCCCCTCTGACAACTAATACCTTAGACCACCCACTCCGGGTCCCATGAAAGTGATGAAAATATATAGCACAATAGACAAAAGCAAACACAAAAAAAAATAATAATAATAATAACACTAATTTGCAGTTAAAATAGTACTTGAGCTAATGCTATTTGGGTTGGCAGTCTACTAAAATTTAAAAACAAAAATATACTTACAAGAGGGCACGGTCTTCACGCACATTATTGTCCACCTCAATAATCTTTGACCCAGCAAGCAGTTGCATTACTAGCCCAGAAGTTACAATTGGAGTGATACCAAGCTCCATAACAGTCCCACGGTTTGAAGCAAGAATAACACGCATCCAATAGAAAGGATCCGCACCAGTTGTCGAATGAATCCCATACAATGGGAGTTGACTGCATACCAGGAAAATGAAAAGGGAGATCACAGTATATATGACCTTCTCACGGAAGGGAACTTTTCGGTCAGCTGTCTGAACTTCGGGAAGAAATGATAGAAACGGCCTGACAAGATGAAGAACCCTAAATCCACCTCCCATCTTATTTACTCCTAACTAAGCCAATTCCACCTGCAACACCCGTTCATTAAAAAAATAAATAAAAGCATATAAAACTGTGATCAAGCTATAAAACAAACATGCATGCTTAATTACGTGTTTAAGCGTTAATAAAGTAGAATATAGCCATCTTTGACATGCCAAAAAAACCCAGATCCATGATAATTGAGAAGTAAGACTAGCAAGATCTAATTCATATGGCTGAGAGACAATTTTCCAATGTAACTAAAACCCTAGAATAGTAGATTGCAGCCAAACAAACAAAGATGAACATGATTTTGATTGTTCCAGCTAAAACTAATTTACGCAAACATGTCGATCTGGCAATAAATCCATCAAATAACTCAATAAATCTGTTTGAATGCCAAGAAATTGAAAAGAAAAATAAATTTCACATACAGATCTCATAGAACAGGAAATGATCCTATATTTATCAAACTAAATCATAAAAAAGAAAATCAATCCAGTAATGAAGCAACCACAGAGTAATCATTAAATTCGATTCACATGTTAAAACCAGAAATGGAAGAAGAACAATTTGCTAGGAGCAAAGAACTGACCGTTAAGGAAACGAGGACGAAGAAGAGATACCAGGAGAAAAAAATATCCGTGCAGAGACGAAACTGTAATGATAATTTGAAGCAAGAGGGACATTTTATGATTAGGGCACTTGTAGTGGACACGAATTCAAGGCCAATAAGTTTAAAACACGTGTCAGCATTTGAGTGACGTGGACATAAATACGGAGCGGCGGCACGTTTGACCAGAGTTTTATCCCGTGAGAATAATTGGCGCGTATGAACGACTCCTGATACGCTAATCAGTTATGAAGTGAAAAATGTCCAAGGTCAATTTTCCATCAATTTATAAAATTATATTTATTAAATATTTTAATAAATTTATAAAATTAAATCGGTTAAATATTTATTAGGTAGTTAAAAAAATATAAAATTATTATTTAAAAAATAATGCTAGCCTCAGATCAAGTAAATATTTTGTACATAAATACTCAAAACACCAAAAAATTATTATTGCTAATATGAAAAGAAGTACAACATTACCAAAATTCATAGTTTTAAGATCATAATAAGCTTTTTATAAAGTTTGGAATATCAAGGGTCCTTTCATAAAGAAAAGGGTAAGTTTATGCATTTGGTTGTTTGCCTATAAAAAAGATATATTAAATGATGATGATGATATACAAAATTTCAATAAAAACATTTTAGAAAATCTTATTATTCCCTTTCGTTTATACATTTATATATGTCATACATAGATAAATTTCATGGACCTTATATCTGAGCTTGGGTTAAGTTAACCCAAGATCAATTAGATCCCAAAATGGCAATGTTTTAACTTAGCCAAAAACCTCTTATTTATGTGTCTCTCTCTCACATCCTCTTTCAAGACTCTTATTTTTGTCAATCTCTCCTCTCCCTTCAAGCACAATGATCTCTAATCTTTCTCATCTTTTTTCGAGTTTGCTCGTTTCTATTCAACAATTCTCTTTAATGTATATAATATGAATCATAGATCTCTCCTCTGAGTGATTAGTTTGTGTTTTCCTTTAAGGTTTGGTTATAATTTTTGTGACAAGTAGTCTTCATATGTTTAAATATATAGGATTTTAATCTACGCATGAGTTTGATGGATAGCATTCATCGTACAATTCTTCATGAGTTTCAAATAGAAGTAAACATATGATAAAGATTTTATTCAATACAATAGTAAACATATAATGAAGATTTTATTCAATACAATAAATTTTTACTTGAATTATAAGTTTCCTATTCATAGTGATTCAAATAAGGCTTTGATAATAATTATAACACTTTTTTTCATTTTAATTTTAATGCGATATTTTTATTTATTACAACATAGTTTAATTTAGCAGCTAAAAAGTCAAATGAAATTATTGCATATTGAAACCTCGATTTGATTGACCCTAAACTTGCAAGAGATTGATAGAAAGAAGAGTTGAGGGAGAAAGAAGGGATGTGAGAAATAATATCATTTTATTTACATGTCTTTCCCTCTCTCACTCCCTTTTCCCTCTTTCTATTTATTTTATATAATTGTCAAGATGTAATACATATTAATTAATGGGTTGAACTTCATAAGAGATGATTATGGCAAAAAATAAGTGTATACAAAATGCTAAAATCTCTAAATTTTTTAAAAAATAATAGTAAGCTTGAAAATTCTTATTGTTGAGAAAGTGTTTAGTCTCCATCCTAATTTTGAGATTATTTTTATTAGTTTACTTTGCTCTTTTTTTTTTTTCATTTTGGCTTGTGCACTTTAACTCTTTTTCAATTATTGCTACTTAAGGAAAATCATATCTAATATCCATTCAATCCATAAAAGTTGAACAATTGGATTAGGTCAAAATTTTATTTTTAATATATATCATGCCTTGTGTCCATAATGGATAAATAAAGGTGGTTAATTTTTTAACTTTAGATCATAGGAGTTCAAAGAACCATTTAGCTTGAGTATAAATTATTAGACAAAGGCAAAATATCCAAAAGGAAAAATAAGTGCTTAAGTCGACTAAAAAATATATATAAGTATTCAATATGAAAGAAGAAGTATTAAACGAATGGTGGATTTTTCATCTTTCTATTTTTTTTTTTTTTTTTTTTTTTTTCATACTTTCAATGCTCTTGTGTCCATAATACGGATAGAATAAAGGTGTGTTAATTTTTAACTTTAGATCATCAGGAGTTCAATAGATACCATTTAGCTTTGAAGTATACTTAAATCATTAGACCAAACAGGCAAAAATATCAAAAAGGAAAAATAAGTGCTTGAGTCGACCTAAAAAATATATATAAGCTATTCACAATAGAACAGAAGGAAGATATTAAACAATGGTGGTACCTTTATTTTATCTTCCTTATTTTTTTTTTTTCTTTTTTTTTTCGAGCTATGTTTTTTTTTTTTTTTTTTTTTTTTTTGGCCTATGGAGGTTCGCACAAGATAGCTGAGTAAGACTAGCTTTATTAAAACAATTGCAATCTATGCATGCAACACTGTAGCTTTTTTTTTTTTTTTCTTTTGGCATTCTCAATTAAGAATAAGAATGTTGTTTTAATGTGATGTGATTGTAAAGAATGTGATGCATGCTAAAATTCATAAGAATTAAATAAGCAAATATAGAGATCTACTGAACGAGAATTACATATTTGTTATAAGAGCATCTCCAATGTTGTTATGAATTGTGGTTGATATGACATATTATATAAAGGTTGTGGATGATGATATGAATGAATGTGTATTTATATATGTTAGGTTTTAGAAATGGCTCTGAAATGCTTCTCAATTAAAATAGAATTTTCCGATGATGTGTATTTTATTTTTCAAAATTATATATAATTAAAATTAAACTTATAACTAAATATAGTAAACTAAAAGCAAATCACTAGAGTGTTGCGTAACAAATGAAGAACAATCAAATACAAATGAAGAACAGTCAAATACAAATGAAGAACATCCAACGAATTTTGCTTCAAACTCATGCGAACACAATCCTTATCATTCCCAAATTGAATTTGAGTTGTTTTCTTCGATGTTTCACCAGTTTTGTTAGAATCGTACGATTCACGATTAGAATGATTCATATCAAATCTAATACAAAACGATACGAATCTTAGTCTAGAATTAGAAAGAAGCCTAAATCGATTATGAATCGGTCGAATTGGTAGCGATCGTAGGAATTGTAATGAATAAGTCAATTTACGCAATTGGAAAAAATTAAAATAAAAAAAAATTGCTCCATGCATCGCCTAATCTGTGTTTGTTTACTAAGAAACAAGTAGAGAAATAGTAGAGAAAGAAGGGAAAAGGAGAGAGATGAAGAGAGAAAACATATATGAAAAGAGAGAAGGAGAAAAAGAAAGGAAACAAAGCCAGAAATACAAAGAGAGAATTTCAACAGATATCACTAGAGGAGAAATGACTAATCTATCCATATATGCATCAGTAGACTATTTGTAGTGCACTTTAATCAATGTCACATCACAAGGCAACAAAATATTAACAATTATTGTCCACACTAATTCACACAATTACAATTATATTCTCTGCAATTACAATAACATACTCACATATTATAAGTCATTCAATTCAATCTTATTTTATGATTTGCATTTGGATTTTTAATATTTTTTTGAATAAAATTAATAATTTTTAATTGATCAATCAAATCTTACGATTTGATTCGATTCTCAATCTCGAGTAAAAAAATAGGATTTTGATTCTCGATTTGACAACTATGCTTTTCACCTCTAAACACTAGAATTTGATTTATCTTGTTCTTAATTACTGGTTGGTGTTTAATTTGGTTGGACTTTTTACAATTTTTGCTTTTGACTCCCTAAATTCAGGTATTATCTCCATCTTCTCTTTTCAATTCTTACCCCTCTCTGAATTTTTTTTATTTTTTTCATTATTTTCTTTTTTTTTTTTCTGATTGATGGTTTCAAGAACTTCGTCAAGAATTTGTAAGAGACAAGTAGCATGTAGTTCTAGCTGCATAGGTTCTCTTTTAGAATTTTACAAATAGTCTAACAAGTATTTGTGTTGGTCTTACTTATTTTTGCATCACTTGTATGTCTTGGTTAAAACCTTAACATGCTTGCTCTGAATATTTTCATTACTGTATAAAATTTTACAAATGGTCTAGAAAGTGTTCTTTTTTTCCCTTTGTGTAATTTTTTGTGTTTTTATGTATATTTTTTTCCCTTATAAAGGTGTAGAAACAAATCAATGTTTTCATCAGATTTTAATTCTGATTCTAATAGTTCATCGTCAAGTAATAATTCATTTTCAATGACTAAAAATTACTAGATGAATCATTAGAAGATGATAACTTAAGCTACAAAATTGCTCATAATTCAGTTCAAGTCATGACAGTCCATGTCCATATGGTAGATTTAACAACTTTAAATGGTAAAAAACGTCTACATGGTGCTGGTAGGCGTTATACTCATCGTGATAGGAAGACGCATCATGTTAATGACTACTTCAAAGATGAGAATTCAAAATATACACCAAAACATTTTATACGTCGATTTCAGATGAATGTTAAATTATTCAAACACATTTTACAAGTTGTGGGAAATTATGATGATTATTTTACACAAAAAAATTAATGTTGTTCGAAATGTTGGGTTGAGTCCTTTGCAAAAAGTGGTTGCTATTGTGCGGATGCTTGCATATAGATGTCCAGCTGGTATGTTTGATGAATATGTTCAAATTGGAGATAACATTGCAATTGAAAGCTTAAAATGCTTTTGTGATGTTATAATAGGAGTTTCAAAATGATACTTAAGAATATTAAATAAAGATGGTTTTGCAAGACTACTAAACGAAGGTGAGGATCGAGAATTTCCAAGTATATTAGGAAGCTTAGATTGTATGCATAGACATTGGAAAAATTATCCCATTGTTTGGCATGAAACACATACTAATGGTTTTAAAAGAGTTCATACTCTAATTTTAGAGATTGTAGCGTTCACATAATTTATGGTTTTGACACGTATTTTTTGACATGGCCGGTACTAATAATGATATCATTGTATTAGATAAATCTCCATTGTTTGAGAAAATGGAATATTGCATGATTTCTAAAGTAGAATAGAATAAGGCAAATAAATAAATAAAGCATTAAAAAAAGCAGAAAATAAAACAATAAACTAAATAAAACATAAA